TCCACAAGTAAAGATTCATATTTTCTTAACGTATGACAATGTTTTAATATAATTTTCGCAAAATATTTGTTTAATTGCGAAACAAAAGTTACCGTATTTTTAAAGTATACCTCGTATCTATTAAAATTACACGTATATCAATGTTTCACAATTGAACGTTTGGCCTTTTCGCTTAAAAGCTTCAACGAACAAAAATTGAAGTAAAATAAGACTACTTGTAACAAGCACAACTATTTATATGTTTTTCTACCACAAAAACTTCGTGTTTCTTTCCAAGCGCCCATTGTCAACTATTGCACGCTAGACCACTGCGGACTCGGGAGGGCGGGGAGAGCCGCGGGGGGGACGCGAGAAGGGCGAGTGGCAGCATCCCGTGCTCTTGCCCGCCCGCGGCCCGCCACGCCCCGCCACACGGCACGCCATGCCGCCGTCGCCATGTGACGGTTGTTGAAGGCGCGGGCCGGCGCGCGGTGGACTGCAGGGCGCGGCGACGGCGGGCAGGCCAAGATCGTGCTGAAGACGGCTGTTTAATGCATGCCAGATATTTAGCGTGGTGTTTTCAGATACCACGAGAACAGTTTAAAGTAGAATACTCCTTATTGTCAACACAGATCTTCACTGACAGAAGGTTTCACACAGAGCTTTCGCATTATATTGCATTACATGTGGTTTATCTTGTTCTGAAGGCCTTTCTGATCAGGACCACATTTTTTTGCCGATAATTATATTGTGTTGCAAGAGCATTCAATGACAGTAATTATAATGCAGTGCCAATATTCAATACATGTTTGCTTCCAGAAGTTAGCAACAGAATAAAGTGATTTATGAAAGGCAACAGGCTTCATTAAATCGTGTTAGCATAAAAGAATATATTTTTTTATTTGTTTCATGAACTTTTAATAAATTTTTAAGTACTCTAGAATTTTTGATGAATTTTAGTATTCTTAAAATATGCTTGCCTAGTATAAATGTTATCATCACGTAGTCTGTATTAGAAATTCTAGGTTTGACACTTACATTAAAGTGCTTTAAACACAGACAATTGTTTTCGTGACAAGAATTTTAGTTGGGAAATTATGTGGGGAGATATTCCAGAAACGCGGTTTATATGGCAATTACATTTTATGGAATTCCAATTTTGTGCTGTGTTGTGTTCACACACAAACGGAAATGCTGTAGTAAACGTGATTGATATTCGGCTCGATAAGCGTACCATACGCTCAGTGAGATCATACTTTATCAGTATCTTCTATTATCACTTTCTTGCTTGCTGGTTTCACACATGTATTTGGACATATATTTACTTACTACAGTGTCGGTTCATATTTTTGCCTTTTCAAAACGTTATGGACTTGAATGGGTATCAAACCATGTCATGGAAAATTAATTATAAGCAAAAGTAAAAGTATATATGTATTACCGCACTGTTATTCATGTATTTGCACGTGAAAATTTCACATCGATTTTCAATGACGGAGTGTAGAGATTAAACGCGCTTAAATACTGTACGTTTCTTGTATAATGAATATATTGAAGAATAACTCTCTGACTATCTTTGGAACCCATAAAAAAGCAGACTATACTACTACATTTGAAAATTTTAAAAAAGGTTTTTTATTCATAGTTCCATGCTAAACGGTATCTCCAGTGGGAACAATATTTTTAGTGAAGATATCTACATATAAAAATTATTAAGCTTATATAACCAGTCTATTTTAACGTATTGTGTTTTGAAAAATGAAAAGTATGATTAAAGTTATTTACAAAATTTCGGGTGAAATAATATAAGAGACTTAGATTAGACGTAAGGCTACACACTCCGATTAAACCAATATTATATTCGAAGAAATTTATTCTGCTTAAAAATATTTCTAATACATATCCAAATAAAATTCAACAAATGAATTTCGATGAATATATCATTCCTTTACAAATTCTAAGAATGCTCAGAAGCTTATGTTTAGGTGAAGTGGTAACAATTTCAAATGAACAAATTTTATAGAAACAGTTTTTTCTATTAAAACGGCATATGAACACTTCAATAAAAGATCAAAACAAGTATTCTAGACTAGGAGCTGTATACTAGTGGGATACAAATTTTGTACATATTAAGTAATTAAAAACGGAAGTAATTAATTAAATAACTTACCAAGAATGCTAAGATATTAAAGTAACGTCTAAGAATAAGTTTTGAGAGTGAGCCTTGGTTTATAATGTTAAGAGGAATTTAATCACCACGAAAAATAATTAAAATTGTCACTTGATGTAATGCTATATTGGAAGAAGAAACTGGAAAATTATAAGAGGGGGTAGGAAGGTTAATCGGAGATAACTTATTTGCTCCAATTCAAAAAATTTTAAAATTGTTGGACATACACTGTTTTCAGTGATTCGAACATTTACTCGTCACTAGATAATTAGAATACTTACTTCATTACAATCAGTTCGAGTAGTATGGATGAGTTGCTTACTATTTGCCGAATGACGAACTTCAGAGTTTGCTATACCCACCCCAAGTCTTTTGCACACGTCAAAGGAAGCGAATATTCGCCGAACACATCAGCTGTTCGATGCTGGGCTACCATTCCTGCTCGGCGAATGCCGAATGTTTGGTGCAGACTTTAGAGTACCGGATACTATAAGATGTTGATACTTAATTCAAATATAAAACAACTAATTTTCTTTTGTAAAATAATATTCCAAACTACAAGTAGTAAATGAATTGTTTCCATTATATTCACTTTATTATGGTTTGGGGTTATTCGTTTTTAATTCATAGCACTATTTTAATACCTTTACTTCCACAGTCACAAGTGGATTCATATTTTCTTAAGTATGAAACATGTCTCTTTAAATATAATTTTCGCAAAATATTTGTTTAGCACTTGCGAACACAAAAAAAGTTACCGTATTTTTAAAGTATACCTCGTATCCCATATTAAAATTACACGTATATCAATGTTTCACAATTGAACGTTTGGCCTTTTTCGCCTTAAAATAGCTTCAAAGAACAAAAATTGAAGTAAAATAAGACTACTTGTAACAAGCACAACTATTATATATGTTTTTTCTACCACCAAAAACTTCGTGTTTCTTTCCCAAGCGCCAATTGTCAACCATTGCACGACTAGACCCACTGCGCGACTCGGGAGGGGCGGGGAGG